CGATCTGCTCCCTCCAACCCCCACCCTGACCCCCCCAGCACCCCGGGGACCCCGTCCCCCCCTCACCTGGGCTCCTGGGGGGCGGTGGGCTCCAGCATGTCCCCCCCTTTGAGCAGCTTCAGGGCCACCTCCGCTGCCTTGTGCTTGGCCGCCTTCTTGCTGGGCCCCTGCCCTGGGGGAGACACCGGCTGAGTTGGGGGGACACACACCTGGGTCCCCCCCTAAACCCACCCCCCGCAGACCCACAGCCCGTGGTTTGAGCTGCCGCAGCCCAATGTCGGGGTCCTGGGGGGGTCCCTCTGCCATAACCCAGGGTGTCCCTGAGGGTCCCAGGCATTAGGGTCCCAGGTGATCCCTCCCCAGGACCCATTTTTGGGGGGTCCCAGGGGATCCCTCAGTGTTCCAGGCATCAAAACCCCCCACCAGCACCCACTTTTGGGGGTCTCAGGGGATCCCCAGGCATCAGGATCCCCCATCAGCACCCAATTTTGGGGTCCCAAGGGACTCCTGAGTGTCTCAGGCATCGAGGTCCCAGGCAGTCCCCCTCCAGGCCTTGCTTTTTTGGGGATCCCAAGGGATCCCCCCACCATGATGCACTTTTTGGGGTCCCAGGGGATCTCTGAGCACCCCAAGCATTGGGGTGGGGGGGTTAGGTCCACAACCAGGACCCAATTTTGGGGGTCCCAGGAGATCCCCAAGTCTCCCAGGCATCAGGATCCCAGGCAATTCCCTCCCCAGGACCCCTTTCCTGGGGGTCCCACAGGATCCCAGGCATTTCCCCTCCCCAGCACCCCTTTTTTGGGGTCTCAGGGGATTCCTGGTGATCCCCTCACCAGGACCCACTTTTGGGGGGTCCCAGGGGATCCCCAAGTATCCCAGACATCAGAATCCCAGGTAATTCCCCCCCCAAAACTTACTTTTTGGGGGTCCCAGGAGATCCCCAACTGTCCCAGGTATCCGGATCCCAGTAAATTCCCTCCCCAGGACCCCTTTCTTGGGGGTCCCAGAGGATCCCAGGAATTTCCCCCTGCCAACACCCCCTTTTTTGGGGTCCCAGGGGATCCCTGAGTCTCCCAGGCATCCAGATCCCAGGCAATTCCCTCCCCAGGACCTCTTTCTTGGGGGTCCCAAAGGATCCCAGGCATTTCCCCCCCCCAGCACCCCCTTTTTTGGGATCCCAGGGGATCCCCAACTGTCCCAGGCATTTGAATCCCAGGCAATTTCCTACCCCTACCCACCAGATCCCATTTTTTTAGGGTTCCTGGGAAATTCCCCACCCCCCCCAACTCCCCAAAACCCACTTCTAGGGATCACCCAGTACATCCCCCCCCCACCCCGAGGACAATCCCTGTGTCCCCACTGTCCCCAAAGACCCCAAGGAAGTGAGATCCACCCCAAATCACCCTCTCCAGGCTGTCCCCTTCCTCACCCTCCCCGGCGCGGGGGGTTCCCCCCGCGCCGGGGAGGGTGAGGAGGGGGACAGCCTGGAAATAGGAGGTGACAAGGACTCACCGGTGCAGCTGATGTCCCCAACGGTGACACGGAAGGTGAAGTTGGGCTGGTGGGCTTGTCCCTCGGCCTTCAGGAGGTCGTAGCCGGGGGTCTTGCCTATGCGAGTGCCATATTCCTGCAGGAGGCTGATGGGCGTCTTCCCGGGGTTGGCGGCCAGCATCTGCTCCAGGCTGGGGACAGGGCTGTCACCCAGCCCCCCAGAAGGGGTCAGAGGGGACCAACGGGGGGTCTGGAGTGGAGTGGTGGGAGAGGCTGGCACTGCCACGTGGTGTGGGGGACGTGGGGACAAGGGTGGCATCACCAGATGCCATGGGGACACAGGGACAGGGGTGGCACTGCCATGTAGCAGAGGGATATAGGGACAGGGGTGGCACCACCACAAGCCATGGGGACAGAGGGACAGGGGTGGGGACAGGGATGGCACTGCCATGCAGCATGGGGACATGGGGACAGGGGTGGTACTGCCACATGCCATGGGGACAGCGGGACAGGGATGGAGCCACTACACAGCATGGGGACATGGGGACAGAGGTGGCACTGTCACACAGCAGGGGGACACGGGGACAGGGGTGGCACTGCCACATGCCATGAGTACAAGGGGACAGGGCTGGAGCCCCCCCTCAACTTGGGGACACGGTTACAGGGGTTGGAAGCACCACAGGGCATGGGGACAGGGGGACAAGAGTAGGGACAGGGGTGGCACTGCCACACAGCATGGGGACAAGGGGAAAGGGCTGGAGTCCCCCTGCAGCTTGGGGACACGGTCCCAGGGGTGGCACTGTCACACAGCATGGGGACAGGGGTGGCACTACCACATGCCATGGGGACAGGGATGGCGCTGCCATGCAGCATGGGGACATGGGGACAGGGATGGCACCACCACATGCCATGGGGACATGGGGACAGGGCTGGAGCCCCTCCGCAGCATGTGGACACGGTCCCAGGGGTGGCACTGCCACACAGTAGGGGGACATGGGGACAGGGCTGGAGCCCCCCCCTCATCCTGGGGATACGGTTACAGGCGTGGCACTGTGACACAGCGTGGGGACACAGGGACAGGGGTGGCACCACCACATGCCATGAGGACAAGGGGACAGGGCTGGAGCCCCCCCTCATCTTGGGGACACGGTCCCAGGGGTGGCACTGCCACACAGTAGGGGGACACGGGGACAGGGGTGGCACCACCACATACCACCGGGACACGGTGCCAGGGGGAGGGGACAGGAATGGAGCCACCGTATTCCATGGGGACAAGGGTGGCGCCGCCACACAAGGCCAGGCCTTTAGCCCCCCCCCCCTTCCCTCAGGGGCCCAGTGCCCAAGGCCCAGGCCCTCAGGCCTGGAGTAGGCCTCAACCTCGGGGGTGGGTATTGCGGGGGGGTATCTATCCCGGTCCGGGGGGCGGAAATCTCCCGGTAAGGGGTGGGG